GCCGTGACCTCGGCTGCTGGGTCTGGGGCTGTCCTGGGGGCACCTGCCGTCCCACGTGTCACCCTGTCCCCTCCCTGTCATTTCCTAGTCCCTCCCTGCCCCAAGCCAACCTCCCTGGGCCTCCCAGAGAAGACGGGGGTAGGGGTGCGAGAAAGGAGGGCGTGTGGGTGCTGTCCGGGTGCGAGCTTCCTAGCCGGCCCGCAGTGGACCCTCAGCTGGGCTCCGGCAGGCCAGCATCATCCTCCCCCTGCCCCCGCCGCCCGCGGTGGCTCTGGGGACAGCCTGGCTCTGCTCCCCTGGGGCCACCCATAAGCAGCAGCAGCTGGTGGCCCAGCCTGTCGCCCTGCACCCACACAGCCGAGCCCGGGTGTCTGTCTGCACCTCCTGCGGCGGCCTCCCTCTCCAGTGCTCCTCCCATTGCTCTTTGGGCTTTGTTTGGTCCAAGCCACGCAGATTCCGGAGGGCGCTTCCTCCAGAAAGTCCTCCTGGTTTGAACAGACGCCGCTGACCCCTGTGGCGAAGGGCCCCGCTCCTCCCTGTGAGGTGGGCACATCTCTGTCCCGAGGGCCTGGCTGTGTGGAGGCCACGCTCCCGGTGCCTTTCCCTGGGGACTCGCGGTTCCTGAGAGCTGCAGGTGGGCCTCGTTCTAGTCCCTGCTCTGCAGAGGCAGAATCCCCGGCTCAGGGCTGGAGCCACAGCACAGCGGGTAGGGCACTGCCTTGCCCTACCCGGGTTCCATCCCCGGCACCCCATAGGGGCCCCCCAGCAGCGCCAGGAGTGATTCCTGAGCACAGAGCTAGGAGTCAGCCCTGAGCATCGCCAGGTGGACCCAAAAACAAACCCAGAGGAAGGACCCAAGGTTCAGAGAGGCTCAGGCCCGTGGCAAAGGGTCCGAGTCCAGATCGACGCCGGCTTTTGAGTCAGAGCTGGGCAGAGGTGCCGTCTCCTCTGGGCGCCTGAGTGAGTGCTCAGGGGGCCCCTTCCCGCTGGGAGACCCGGGGGTGGGGGTGGGGGGCGCCCGCCTTTGACCAGGTGAAGGCAGAAAGGAATCTTGTTTCTTTTTTGGGGGGGGTCACACCCGGCGATGCTCAGGGGTTGCTCCTGGCTCTGTGCTCAGGAATTACTCCTGGTGGTGCTCGGGGGACCCTATGGGATGCTGGGAATCGAACCCGGGTCAGCCGCGTGCAAGGCAAACGCCCTACCCATATTGCTCCAGCCCCTCTTGTTTCGTTTTGAGGGGACACTCGGAGCGTGCTCAGGGGTCACTCCTGGCAGTGTTCGGGGACGCTCTGTGTGCAGAGCCTGGTACACAGGTGAGCCGCCCGGGGGGGGGGAGGGCTCGGCCCTTGTAGGCCCAGCTGTGCAGGGGCCCGGCCCCTGACTCCTGCCCCCCAAGCCAGGGGCCACAGGACCCTCCAGCACACCGGGACCTCTCAGGGCGCAGAGAGTGGCTCCCAACCCCTTTGCCGCAGGCTGGAACTGACCCCTGCGGCCAGATCCCAGGGGCCCCTTCCGGGCCTCGGGTTACGGCAGCTGTCCCCCCCAACCCACCCGGGGGCCCAGGCTCGGGGCCCACAGTCAGGGCAGCTGGACTCTCACGGCACGGGGGTGCGGCACGGGGGACGGCTCCTCGAACCGGAAACCTCAGCGCCCGTGTCCAGGAGGACAGCGCCCCTCTCCCTCCCTGCCCACCCCAGCCCCAGGACTGGCCACCAACATGGAGCACGGTGGGCCGGCGGGCAGGCAGGGGAGAGGTGGGAGAGGCAGAGCAGCCCTCCCGGTGGGGGTTCGGGTCCCCCTCCCAGCTGGAGGACAGAGAGGCCCCCCTGCCAGGAAAGCAGCCCAGCAGGGGATAGGCGAGGGGTGTGGCCGAACACCCCCCCCCCACTGGCCTGACCTCTGCCCCTCCAGGTGGGACGTGGAGGCCGCACAGGGCCACCTGCCCCCACACCCACAGCCCAAGTTTCGAAGGTTCGAAGGTTGTTCTGGGAGAGGCCCCCGGTGGGGGAGGGGCTGGATTCAGCCCCGGCTCCAGCAAAGACCCGTCTGAACACTCTGAAATAGTCACGCACCCAGAACGCCCGTTCGTGGCCCATGAAAAACGACAGGAAATTCAAACTTCAGCTCACAGAGCCGTCTTAGCGCCCCCATCCACTCATTTACATCCTCGACTGGCTTCCTGCAGCCACAGGCTTACAACAGGCACGGCGGCACCTGAAATAGCACGTCTGGTGGCCCCAGCAAAAAAGCTTGGGCGCGAGTACAGCGGGGCGCATGGCCACTTCCCCAGGATTAGGGTCCAGTTTCAACTTGTTTAGCAAGAGTTTTACAATGAGGAAATCTCGGTAGAATCTCTGCTCATTTCAGCATATGTGCGAGAGCTTAGGGTTTTATAGCTTCATACTGTTTTACTCTGTGTGTGTGTGTGTGTGTGAGAGAGAGAGAGAGAGAGAGAGAGAGACAGAGACAGAGACAGAGAGACAGAGACAGAGAGACAGAGAGACAGAGAGACAGAGAGAGATTGAGACTTGGGACCTCCTCCATGTCTGAGGTTAGACCAGCAAGGCAGAGCCCATTTCACAGATGTGGAAACTGAGGCCCGCTCCCAGTGTCTGAGCTTCCCCTGGCACTGGCCCCCAGGAGACAGGGGGTCCCCTCTCCGGCCTGTCTGGTGGACAGGCCCTGAGCCCTCCCTGCCTTCCGGGACCGAGGCGCCCGGCCAGCGCTCGGGTTCCCAGCCTCCTCTCCCTGGGGGTCTGGCAGGCTCCCAGGGGCCTGCTGAGGGCCGGGAGGTTTTTTTCCCTTTTCCTGCAAACAGGGCGAGGTGTGGAGTGAGCAGCTCCGGGGAGGGGTGACAGGAAGCTGGACTTTTGGGGGTCAGCCAGCCGAGCTGGGGAGGAGAGGCCTGCTGAGACCGGGAGCCAGGCCCCACGCTGGGGTGCTGGGGCTGTGGGGAAGGGGCCGATGGACCCTCCTCGGCCTGGGCGTCTCCACCGGGCACTGCATCATGCCGGCGCTTCTCTGGGGGCCGTGCCCCACCCACACCCGAGAAGGACAGGACAGGCGGCAGGGACGCCCCGGGGTCTCACACCCCCCCCCCCCACCCAGGGACCCTAGTCCCCTCCCTATCTCTGCATAAAAGGAGAAGAGTTCTTTCGGTAGTGTCAGCCGCTCACCCAAACAGCAAACTTGTGGGCCTCCGCTCGTGTCGGCCACAGGGCCTTAGCACAGCTGTGTCCCGCCAAGCGGCAGCCCTCCGACCCCCCACCTCCTTTGGATCTGCTTAGTTACCACCTCCTCCGAGGAGCGTCCAGGACCATCCCTGAACTGGCTGATTTCTGGTTCTGAGATCTACAGTTGATGGAGCAGTGTGTGTGTGTGTGTGTGTGTGTGTGTGTGTGTGTATGCATGTACTTGTGCGCGTGTGTATGCACATGTGAGAGCGTGTGTATGCTTGTGCATGTGTGTGAGTGTGAGCATGTGTGTGTGAAAGAAGTGTGTATCTGTATGTGTGCGTGCGTGTATCCATGTGTGATTGTGTGCGCATGTGTGTGTGTGAGGTGTATGCGCGTGAGAGTGTGTCTTTGCGTCTATGTGTATGTGTGTGTGCATGTGTATGCATGTGCGAGGACGTGAGATGTGAGTGTCTGTGTGTGCGAGTCAAATGTGTGTGTGTGTGTGTGTGAGTGACAGTGCGTGTGTGTTGCCTTCACACACCAGGCCCCGGCGGGGCTTCCTCCAGGGCCGACCCCCCCACTGGGGACACGTTCGTCCGTCTGTCTGTCTGTCTGCCCGCTCTTGCAGCCTGGCCCCCAGGAAGTCAACGGGTGAGGTCCGAGGGGGGCCCAGAGGAGGACGACAACAGATGAAGGAAAGCAACTTCGAGGACCCATTTGTTAGGGACTCGGTGTGTTTCCTGGCCCCAGGCCCATGCTTGGGTGCTGCGTGCTCTGGAGCAGTGCTGTTTTCTAGAAGGTTCTGTGTGTGTGTGTGTGTGTGTGTCCCCATACCAGTCTGACACAGTCCAACACACTCGCCAGGAGACACAGGTAGCTACTCGGCCCAGGGCATGTGGTGAGTGGCCTCAGGCTGAGCCATCGGTTTTATGTAATGGTCATTAACATAAATTTAAATAGCCACTTGTGGGGCGTGGCTGCCGGCTGGGTGGCGCTGCTGGGCCAGGTGGGCGCCCGCTGTCCCGAGGCTGTCCCGGGGCCCTGAGGGACTGACCCCGCCTCCAACAGGACCTGGTGTGGAGTCCAGGAGTCACGGGGCATCACCCAGTGCCCCACAACGGTCCTCCAGAGCCCCACGGGCAAGGGCACCTCTGGGAGTCTCGGGGGTCCAGGGCCCCAGGGGGCCTTGGTCTGTCTGTTGCCATCCCCGCCTGCCGCGGCCGCCACCGTCTCCCCATCACACCGTCCCCGGGACCGTCAGCGACTGTCCTCGCCAGCACCACCACCTCTAGGCCCCCAGTCACGACCACCATGGACCTCTCACCGGCACCATCTCCCCCCACCAGCAGCACCAGCAGCCCCGGGCCCCCCCGAAACGGCCACGGTCAGAGCCTGGGCTCTGGAGCGCAAGGACAGCCCCCATCTGGGCCCACGGCTCAGCCTCCCTGAGACCGTTTCCTCCCCCGCGAGGGGGTCTGCTAATAAATATCTCAGCGCCGGCCCTGGTCAGAGGCACGAAAACAAAACCCACCCGCCCGGGGGTGATGGGGGCCACCGTCTTGGAGGCTCCGTGAGCCCCGTTTCCACTGGAGATGCGGATTCAACCCCTTGTACAGATGAGCAAACCGAGGCTCACAGAGCTGGCCGTTGGCCCAACTCACAAGGACGGCGTCGGACGCCGAGACAAACAGAACTGGCTGCTAGAGGGCCCTGTCCGGCCGAGGGAGGTGGCCTGCAGAAGGCCTCCTGCCGCTGCCCACCGCGGCCTCCCGGGCACGCTGAGGGGGCTCGCAGGCCCCAGGGGTGCGCGGAGCAGACACTCACCGGTGTCCTGGCGGAACTGGTGCATGGACTGCAGGTCGATGATGTAGGGCACGAGCTGGGCGTCCACCTGCCCCAGGACCACGGAGCCGCGGGCGTCCTCCTTGAGCACGTTCTCGATGTGGTGGCACACGGTGGCCGTGTAGGGCCGCCAGCGGCTGTGCTCATTGAGCCACTCCCAGACCACCACGCGGGCCACGTTCTGCGGGGGGAAGCCCAGCCCGCTGCCCGGCACCATCACGGCCTGGCCTGGCCGGGACATGGCCGCGGCCGCCTCGGGGGCCGGACCCAGGGGGAGGCCGGCGGCCCCCGGGCCGGGGGTGGCGGGTGGGCAGGTGCGTCCTCCCCGGCGGGGTCCTGCGGGGGCCTCGCTCTCTGCAGACGCCTCGCGCGCGGGGTGCCGCGGGGCCCAGCCGGCGGCGTCCGGGGTCAGCGCGGCCGCGGGGCCTGTCCACGCGGGCCTGTCCCCTGGCGGCCCGGCCCGGCGCGCTCTGCGGCTGCCGCCACCTCCTGCGCGTCCCGCGGCGCCCCTGGCCGGCCCGGTCCGCCGCGCCCCACCCCGACGGCTCCCGCCCAAGGGGGCGTCCCTGCCCGGGGGGGGCGGCTTCCAGGGGGTCCCGGCGGACCTGGAGGGCTGCAGCACCCCGAGGAGGGGCCGGCGCGGGCTGCGGCTCCGGCCCGGCGGGGGCGCGGGAGGGGCGGGGGCTCGGGCACGCCCCACCCCACGCGTGCTCGAGACCTGCGGGAGACAAGGCGGGGAGAGGGCCCCTTTAAGAGGCGAGCGCGGCACCCCTCCCCCTCCCCCGGAGCAGAACAATGGGGAGCCGTGGGGGGCCCCTGGGGGGCCCGGGGGTCGCGCGCTGCCCCTCCCGGGCCCGGGGCTGCGCTCCCGACGCGGCGGCGCCCCCTCCCCTGCGCCCGGCGCTCCCCTGCGCGTGGGGCCCGCGCCGCGGCCGGGGTGCGGGGCGCGCGGGGATGCGCGGGGGTGCGCGGGGCGCCGGCGGCGGCGGGCGCGGCCCAGGGCCCCTCGGGGGTCGCGGCGTCCCCCGGGGTCGCCGCCCGCTGGCGCCCCCGCGGGTGGCAGCGCCCCCCCCCACCCGCGCCGACCTCCCCCGCGCGCGGGTCCCCCCGCCGGGGCCGGGGGTGGGGTCCCCGGCACCCGCGCGCTCACCGCTGGCCTCGGCGCTGCCTCCTGGCGCTGCGCTGGGCTCGGGCTGCGTCGCCGCGTCCCCGGCGCCCCCGGGTGGGGGGCAGCGGCCCACCCGCCTCCGCGCCCCGGCCAGGCGCGCCCGGGCGCCGGGCTCCGCGCGCCGACTCGCCGCTCCGCCGCCGCGGCCGACAGACGGACGCACGGACGGACGGACGGACGGACGGACGCGCGGCTCCCGCGGGTGGGAGGCGGCCCGGCCCGGCCGCGCGCGGCGGAGGGAGGGGGAGGGCGCGGGGAGGAGGAAGGGGAGGAGCAGGCCGGCCCTCCGCCGCGCTGCCGCCGCTGACACGCGAGTCCCCGGCGCCCCAGATCCCCGGCTGGGCCCACCTGGGAGCCCCCGCGAGCCCCGACCCCAGCAGGGCGCGCGGCGGGGACGGGCCGCGCCTGGATCCGGCTCCGCTAACTAGGTGCTCAGCGAACGCTCTGCTGAGAAGGACCCAGACCCCCGGAGCCGGACCGGGAGAGGATTGACCGGCAGGGGCCCGCTCTTCCCCTCCCACTTTTGGGAGCGCGAGGAGGGGCTGGCAAGGTCCCTTTCGGAGCCTGCGGAAAGCCTGGACTCCCAGGAGTCCCTAGGGAGAGACCGAGGCCCAGAGAGGGCAGGAACCAGGCCCAGCAACACACAGCCGCGTGGAGGAGCGCCGTCCACTGTCCACTCTCCCCCGGCTCCCCGGGAGCCAGCCTGGAGCTCACCGTGCCCGGGGCCCACCTGCTCCAGCACTATGTGTGGGACAGGCCCAGGCCAGGGGCCGGGGTGGGGCAGGTGGGGGGCGCACAGATTCCTGCAGTCAGTGCTCACTGACCCAGCGGGCTGGCCCCAGGCCGGTGCTGAGCAGACCAGCCTCCGCCCAGCCGGCCAGCTGCAGCTGAGGATACAGGGGCCTGGAAGGGGGGGACCCCTGGGGTTTGTGGGTGTTTACGTTGGGGAAGATGAAGGCGGTGTCTGGCGTCCGGGAACTGCAGCCTGGGCGGCAGCTGGGGGTCAGCAGCCGCCTGGGGGCCTGCCGGGAGCCCAGAGGCCCACACTCGTCTCCGGCCAGGGCAGCTGTGAGGACGGACTCGGGGAGGTCAGGGCCCAGCTGCCGGACGCCTTTTCCCAGAACTACGCTGTGGTGCCCCTCCTGGCTGCCCCTCCCGGCCCCTGTGTCCTGCATCTGGGCTGCGGAGCCCGGAGCCCATCGGCCGGGGCAGGGAGCCCCTGGCTGGGCAGAACCTCCTGGGCAAGGTGCAGAGAGGGTCTCTCCGCCCGAAGGCAGGGCCGGCCTGCAGTGACCGCGCCAGGGGCATGGCAACTGCAGTGTGTTGTGCTGACTTCCCTGTTCCGTCGCGGACAATTTTATGAGTCTGGGCGTTTTTCTGGCAAGGGGGCCTCTGGCTTTCAGCAGACTCTTCTCTAAGGAGCTGTGATTGGAGAGGTTCAGAGCCGCTGGGCACACGGCTGAGGTAGAGAAACGGCTTTGGGTGTCCATGGCAATGTCCCAGCAAGTCTGAAAGGCCACCCCAAGTTTCCGGGTCCTACAAGGCTGGCGAGCATTTATTATGATTTTAGTTTTGGTGCCGGGGCTCAAACCCGGGGCCTTGTCCAAGCAAAGCACATGGCCTGTATCCCTGGTGCTGCCCGAGGCGGGCGGCTCTCACTCTACGGCCTGGTCCCTGGACCCCCCCGGACTCATCTCCCTGTGCTCCTTTTCTTTTGTCGCGAAGTGACATCATGGTCATCACAGTCACTTCATCGACCTACTCTCCCTTAGAGCAAGACATTCACCAGGTCAGAACTTTGATCTTTGGGCTGGGGCGATAGTACAGCGGGTAGGACGTCTGCCTTGTATGCAGCTGACCCGGGTTCGACTCCTGACATCCCATATGGTCCCTCGAGCACCACCAGGAGTGATTCCTGAGTGCAGAGCCAGGAGTGACCCCTGTGCAATGCCCGAGGGTGACCCCAAAACCAAAAAATATAAACATTGAGTAAACTTGCTTGTTCCTTAAGCCTGTGTTCTCCCTTGATCACACACACAGAAAACCAAAACCCTTGATCTTAGTTGCCTTTGTGTGGCATGGCTGCTACCCATTCTCCATCATGGTCATCTGTGCGGTTCCTGCTCAGGATCAGACACTCACATAATATTGCTCCTCACAACGGCCCCCTTCACTCAGTCTATTCATTGGTCCATCCATCCGTCCAACTACCCATCCATCTGTAACTCCAGTCATCCATCTCTCTGCCATCCATCCGCCCTACTACCCACTGACCACCCACCCGTCCAGGATCTGTCCAACCCGACCTTTCCCCCACCCACCTTCCGTCTAACTATACATCATTCCAACCATCCATCAACCCTATGTCCATCCACCAACGCATCCAAATAACCGTTCACCCTCATCTGCTAATCCATCCCCATCTGCCATCTACTATATCCGACCACCCGTAATTCCACCCACCCACCCACCCATCCACCATCCACCCAACACCTATCCATCAACCGCCCATCCTTCTACCATCCAATCAGACGTGATTCCAACCACCTGCCTTCCACCCATCCAACCATCCACACCCACCCAGCCATCAATCTATCCATCCATCCATCCAGCCAATCTTTATTTATTTATTGCTTTTGGGTCACTCCTGGTGATGCTCGGGGATTCCTCCTGGCTCTGCACTCAGGAATGACTCCTGGCGGTGCTCAGGGGACCCTATGGGATGCCGGGGATCAAACCCCAGTTGGCTGTGTGCAAGGCAAGCACCCTCTCCGCTGTGCTATCACTTCGGCCGCCAGCCAATCTTTTTGAGGTTCAGAGAGGTTAAGTAACTTGCCCAAGATCCCACAGGATGCTGGCATCAGAGCCGGGGTTTGAATGGCAAGTTCCTTCGACACTGTCCTGTGCTGGTCAGTCACTAATAAACGGCATCCAAGCACGTGGCTTTTAATGGGTCCAGTTAACGGGACTTGTCAGGGCTTGCTCCCGGGTATACGGGGATAACGGGATTCCAGAGAGGAAGGGAACGAAGTCTTCAAGGAACCCACAACCCAGAGGGGAAGCAGGCCAGACTCCAGCGGAGAAGCCAGAGAAGCAAAAAATCAACCCATCATGCACTCTGCGTTCTTGGTGTATGTCAGCATGAATCCCGGGTGGCCCGATGCGTGTTCCTCTCTCGTCCCTGCATAGTCACAAGCCGGACTGAGGTTATTAGTCTAATAACTAATGACGTGATGGGAGGCGGCGACACTGCCTCTTTCCTGGATCTTTTAATTAATTTATTTATTTTGCTTTTTGGGTCACACCCGGCAATGCACAGGGGTTACCCCTGGCTCTGCACTCAGGAGTTACTCCTGGCAGTGCTCAGGGGACCCTATGGGATGCTGGGAATCGAACCCGGGTTGGCTGCGTGCAAGGCAAATGCCCTACCCGCCGTGAGATCTCTCCAGCCCGTTTCCTGGATCTTGAGCCCGGGCACACGCTTTAGCCTGCACGTGAGGGTCACGAAGGTTTGCTCAGTTTTATGACCGTCCGTGGTCTCGATTCCGGCATAGCCATGCTTCGCCACAATCAGGAAGCAGATAGTGGCCGTGGACCGAGACCTCGGCAAACGCGGGCTTTGCTCCTCAGGGCAGCTGTTAGTGCTCTCGAGAGCAGAGCCGGGAACTTCTCGCCAACTACTGAGGTTGCAGGGGAAGAAAGTGAAAAAAAGATGAGCTCGTTTTGTTCTTTTTTTTTTCTTTGGCTTTTTGGGTTACACTCGGCAGTGCTCAAGGGTTACTCCTGGCTCTGCACGCAGGAATCACTCCTGATAGTTCTTGGGGGACCCTATGGGATGCTGGGAATCAAACCCAGGTTAGCCGCTTGCAAGGCAAACACCCTCCCCGCTGTGCTATCGCTCCAGCCTCACATTTTATTTGTTCTTTTACTCATCATCCAACCAAATACCTAACCATCCAACTACTCAGATACCCACTCTCACTTCTAATTTATGCAGTATTCATCGACATATCCATCCATCCATCCATCCATCCATCCATCCATCCATCCACCCATCCACCCATCCACCTGTCCATCCATCCATCCATC